GGTGAGGTAGACGTTGGTCCCGGTAGAACATGAATCTAGAAGTGAGATTGAATAGATTCTTCACTTAGATGACTTTCTATGATCTTTAAAAAATTTCTTATCCTCTTCTTTCTTATTTCAATATCAATTAATCAAATTTAGATTATGAAACAATACAAACCAATGAATGAAGACCGTCTTCAGCAACATATAATTAAAGTTATTGAAGGTCCCTTCTCTCTAAAAAAAAAAAGTTAATATATAAAATATTGTATGCATTCATGAATTTCCAGTTTTTTAGTGTAACGAGAGTAGTTTATGAGTCAATAAGTACAGAATTCACCATCATTTCAAGCATGCCTTCATGATATTGGGTGTGATTTCAACTAAAGGGTCTTTATCTCGGGCAATAATTGATGACATTAGACATGAGGAAAGAGAATTGCCTTAGGTTGAAATGACATTAGACATGATTTGAATAGCGTTGGAAATGGGGTAAGAGAATTGGTTCAACTTGGATTGATATTGGGTGCCAAAGAAGTGGCGTCCAACGTGAGGAGAAAGAATCATCTCGGATTAAATTGAGGCTGGGTGTGACACTTTGCCACATCAAGCATGAGGGCTCAGGGGTCTCTACCTAATCCATGATAGGTTTGGGTGAGGTAGACGTTGGTCCCGGTAGAACATGAATCTAGAAGCGAGGTTGAATAGATTCTTCACTTAGATGGTTTTCTATGATCTTTAAAAAATTTCTTATCGTCTTCTTTCTTATTTCAATATCAATTAATCAAATTTAGATTATGATTCAATAAAAGATATAAATGATCAAATTTACCACACAGTGGAACAAATATTTGTAATCCAAATTAATTTTTATTATTTTCCTTCTTTCTTTTATTACCAAATAGCATATATGATAAATTGAACATGAATCAACAATTGATAACATTCAAATAAACATTTTGTTGAAATTCCTTTTAACAATTCTCACAAAAATTATATCAAAAGATAAAGGTTAAGAGAGAAATACATAATGCATGGTCTATACTAGTTAAACTATACAAGGGTGTACATCTAGTTTCTGACTTAGCATCCCACTAAATCAAGTCATTTCACTACAATATTCTTTACACACACCATGTACAAACAATATTATAATCAGAATGAAAATCACACAATCTTGATTTTACAAGATTTCACAATCATAAAATTCTTACACCCCACAAGAACCCACTCGAGAGAAAACAATCTCAAGATTTCCCTTAACTCTTCTTGAGACACCTTATCTCAAAGAGTAATACAACCCAATAGTACAAACAAAATTTTATGATCAGAGAGAATACACATGATATGTGTAGAATGATTTTGAACAAAGATTAACTCATAAATTTATTGAAATCTATCAAGAACTCATCTTCTTTAATCAATCTTTAGCACTTGTATTCTTTCTGAAAAGTATATGATATGATCTTGTTCTAAAATAGTTATATATATATAGTTATATATATATATATATATATATATATATAT